GGAGGTTGAGACTGCAGTGAGCCGTGATCATGCCACTGCACTCCAGCCTGGGTGAAAGCAAGATTCTGTCTCAAGAAAAGAAAGATAGAGAAAAAAAAAAAAGAAAAGAAATTGACATCTCTGAGAAAGCTGTAAATCTCCAGTGCATTTCAAAGATTTAAAAAAATTTTTTCACTTAACATATCTTGGGAATTCATAAAGCTACCTCATTCTATTTAACAGCTGTATAATATTCCATTAGAGGTGTGTGCTATAATTAAGTTAGCCTCACTGATGAACACATATGCTATTTTCAGTCTTTTTCTGCTATAAATGCTCTTTTTCATCGCTGTCTTGTGAGATTATATTTGCAGGATGAATTTGTAAAAGTTGAATTGTTGGGCTGAGCATGGTGTCTAACGCCTATAATCCCAGCACTTTGGGAGGCCAAGGCGGGTGGATCACCTGAGGTCAGGAGTTTGAGACCAGCCTGGCCAACATGGCGAAACCTTGTCTCTACTAAAAATTAAAAAAATTAGCCGGGCATGGTGGCAGGTGCCTGTAATACCAGCTACTCAGGAGGCTGAGACAGGAGAATCACTTGAACCCGGGAGGCAGAGGTTGCGGTAAGCCAAGATGGCACCACTGCATTCCAGCCTGGGTGACAGAGTGAAACTTTGTCTCAAAAAAAAAAAAAAAAAAATTGAATTGTTGGGTCAAGAGTTCTGTGTATTCAAAGTATCAAAAATATTACTTAATTGCTGTTTATTAGTTTTGTACCAGTTTGCATTCCTACCAGTAGCATTTGACTGCAGGAGTAGGCAAACGTTTTTCTCTTAAGGGCCAGATGGTAAATATTTTGAACTTTCTTTGTATGTATTTTAGTCTTGGGCCATAGTTTCCCAATTTTGGCCTATAGCATAGCTGCGATACTTTTTTTTTTTTTTTTTTTTTTTTTTTTTGGAGACAGAGTCTAGCTCTGTCGCCCAGACTGGAGTGCAGTGGTGCGATCTCGGCTCACTGCAATCTCCGTTTCTCGGGTTCACGCCATTCTTCTGGCTCAGCCTCCTGAGTAGCTGGGACTATAGGTGCCCACCACCGCGCCCAGCTAATTTTTTTTGTATTTTTAGTAGAGACGGGGTTTCATCGTGTTAGCCAAGATGGTCTCGATCTCCTGACCTCATGATCCGCCTGCCTTGGCCTCCCAAAGTGCTGGGATTACAGGCATGAGCCACCGCGCCTGGCCAGCTGCAAGACTTATCAAAACTTTTTGTTATTACCAACTTACTGTGTGAACATAATATCTCATTGTTTTATTAGTTTGCATTTCTCTTGTTGAACCTTAGTATTTTACTGTCCCTGAAAAGTTTGTTTGAGCCCTTTGCTTTTATATATGTATTTGGTTGTTTGTCTATATCTTTACTGAACTATAGGTCCTATCTTTATCTTTTAAGGAAATTACCCTTTGTGATATAAAATGAAATAAAAAAATTTTTTTTTTTTTTTGAGACGGAGTCTCACTCTGTCGCCCAGGCTGGAGTGCAGTAGTGCGATCTTGGCTCACTGTAACCTCTGCCTCCCTGGTTCAAGCAATTCTTCTGCCTCAGCCTCCTGAGTAGCTGGGATGACAGGCGCGCGTCACCATGCCCAGCTAATTTTTGTACGTTTAGTAGAGACGGGGTTTCATCATGTTGGTCAGGCTGACCTCTAAGTCCTGACCTTGTGATCTGCCTGCCTCAGCCTCCCAAAGTGCTGGGATGACAGGCGTGAGCCACCGTGCCCGGGGAAATAAAATCTTTTAAATCAGTTTATTTTTTTATCTTTTTGATTTGGTTTGTGTTTTCTCATCTCTAGCCAGTTTTAAAGTCACATTTGATCCTTTATATTTTTATTTATAACTTGATCTTTTATTATGGATTATTTTTGGTCATTATTAGAAAGGCTTGTCTCTGTGACTCAAAAATAATTCTTCCATTGTTTCTTTAATATTATTAAAATAATTCTTCCACAGTTTATATTTAATATTACTGTTTTATTTCTTTATGCCTAAACTTAGATACATGTGTAAAATTTTTTTGATGTGAGTTAGGGATCTCATTTTTTGATATGACTACCCTTTTCTTCAAATACTATATCCTGAATTTAAATGTAGTGATAAGGGGCTGGGTGCAGTGGCTCATGCCTGTAATCCCAGCAGTTTGGCAGACTGAGGTGGGCAGATTGCTTGAGCTCAGGAGTTCAAGACCAAACTGGGTCTCTACAAAAAATACAAAGATTAGCTGGATGTGGTGGCGTGCGCCTGTAATCCCAGCTACTCGAGGCTGAGGTGGGAGGATTGCTTGAGTCCCAGGGCAGAGGTTGTAATAAGCTGAGATCATGCCACTGCACGACAGCCTGGTTGACAGAGCCAGATCCTGTCCCAAAAAATGAACCAACTAACTAAGTAAATGTAGTGATATGGAAAGTTGCTTACAATATTACTTCTTAGTATTGACTTCTCATGTACTGTAGAACTCAATGTTTTGACTACATAAAATGCCTAATTTTTCATTCATGAAAAATTACAGAGCACGTGCTATGTGGTCAGCTACTTATGATGAAATGTTGAGATGACTCACCTGTAAGTTCTTCAGCATACATCTCATAAAATTTTAGCATCTGTTTTACTATCTGTTGTCTCATTTGATTATTTTAGAAAGTATAAACAATTTTTCCAAATCTTATTGCCTCTATGTTTATTAGCAAACGTTCTTATGATATAAACAAACTTTTCTCTCCCTCCCTTTGACATGGACTCAAATTATTTACCCTCATACTGTTTGTAATTTTCTGTTTATTTTTTCTAGCTCTGTGAGGAGGAAGAGTCGTACCTATCTCTTTCATCATTTTATCCCTAGAACCTAGCACAATATCTACCACAGGGTGGTTTCCTAATAAATATGTACTGAATGAATGAATACTTCAGGCAGTGGGGAGCTATTGAAGAATCTCAAGGGAGGGTGTAATGTGAAATGACTTATATTTTGGAAAGGTAATTCTGGTGTCATTGAGGAAGAGAGCAACCTGAGCAAAGCTCAGAGAAAAAAAAAAAAAAAGAAACAGAGGATTGCCCTGTCACATCACCCAGGCTGGAGTGCAGTGGCACAATTATAGCTTGCTGTAGCCTCAAACTCTTGGGTTCAAATGATCCTCCTTCCTCAGCCTCCTGAGTAGCTAGGACTGCATGTGTGTACCACTACACCTGGCTGATTAAAAAAAAAAAATTTTTTTTTGTAGAGATGGGCTTTTGCTATGTTGCCCAGGCTGGTCTTGAACTCCTGGCCTCGAACAGTCCTCTGGCCTCGGCCTCCCAAAGTGCTAAGATTATAGGTGTGAGCCACTGTGCCTGGCCCAGGAAAGCTTTCCTTTGGATTCTGTATCAGTTGGGACCTGATTACAGATAATCCAACTTAAATCAACTTGAGAGGAATTTATGGGATTTATGGCATCCAGAGAAGGGTTGAAGAACCAGCCACATGAAGGATGTAACCGGGCTTCAGGAACAAATCAGAGCAAGGATGCTAATGCCACTAATATTTTTAGTCTTCGCCTCACTCTGTTTTTATCAGTTCCAGTTTGTTTGCTGATGGACCAATTAAATGTGGTCTGGGCATAGAGTTTATAAGGGTATGGTTGCTTCCTGAGTATACATGTGGATTGAATTAGTATACCTTTGAAGGTATTGTGGAATCCAGCAGGAGATGTGGAGTATTAGATCTAGGTGCTAAGTGGAAAAGATGGATTTGAGGGAGATAAGAAGTAAAGTTGACAGAATTTATCCAGGGGGAAATCTTGAGCACCTGCTGGTTTGGTGAATCTGTTAACCATCTGAGGGAATTATAAGAAGCATGTGCTTGGAATGGGAGGGAACATGATGAGTTTTGATTTTAGGGATGCTAAGTTGGAGAACGTGTAGGAGCTAGTTGAATGTAGACTTCCGAAATCTTGGAAGAAAGGTCTAAGCTTAAGTGCTTAGGAAGTCAATAGCAAAGGTAAGTGTTATGGAGGTGAACAAAATAGCTCAGTCTGAGTGTGAAAGTAAAGAGAATGGGAATCTTGCAGAGAAACTAACATTGAAGCCATGTGAACAGAAGAAGAGGAGTGTAAAATAAATTAATAAGGCAATTAAGGAAAGTAAGAAGAAATAAGAGTACCAAAGAATCCAAAGGAATTTTATCCATGAGGGATATGCCACTTAGGGATTGAAAAAAGTCAATTCACTTTGAGCATTGGGAGATCATTGATGATGTTAAAGAGAAAAGTTCCAGTGGAAAGTTGGGAGCTGATTGTATTAAGCTCAAAGGGTTAATGGATAGAGGTGAAGTTGAAGCAAACTATGTAGAATTTTTTTCCTACAAGTTTGTGAAGGGAAGATGAATGAGGGCATTGTAGGGCTAGGGGGTTGCTTTGTTTTGTTTTGGAATGGGAGAGATTAGTATATATTAGTAGTTTTGAACAGTAAATAATTTTTTATTTTAGGTTGGAGAAAATTTATTTTTATGTTTAAATATTAACTGCCATAAGTGCTTGTTAGTGTTAGTGCAGAGAAAATGGGACTCAGACCAAAGGACCTGAGTGCTGATCTCAGTTTTACCTGAATAATCGCCATAATAATTATAAATACCATTTTATATTCCCTTCTATTTGTCAGTCATTGTGTTAGTAGGTCTTTTATACATACTATCACTAATCCTCACCACAAATTAATCTCCAAGGTGAGTATTATGCTGTTGTATAGATAGACTCTGAGAGTTTACTTTTCAGGATTACATCGATTTTCAGTATCATGCTTTGATTTCAACACAGATATGTCTGATTCTGAAGTTGGTGCTCTTTTCTCTATATCTCACAGCTTTCTTTTCTAACCTGAAGTAGTTTCTCAAGTTTTGGCTCCTCGTTTCCTTAACTGTCAGATAAGAATAGTCATATCTGTCACACCCATATCAAAGTGTTAAATGAATACTATGGTAATATCTGTATTATGTTTGAAAAAATATTTATTTGGTTAAATACCAAACTGACCTTATCATTGTGGTCTTTAGCACTATCGTTTGTCTAAACAGTATTTTACTTTTTAAGGTGGTGGTATCATGGATACAGAAATGTCTGAAGATATAGACCACAACTTAACTCCTACCCTTGACAGCATGTCTTATGGAATGCCGAATCAAACAGGATCTGAAAATTCATTGCTGGATGAAGATGATTATTTTTTGAACTCTGGGGATCTTGCAGGAATTCCAGTCGTTGGTAGTGACAATGAGGATGAACAGGATTTTAGTTCAAAGGACAATCTTGTGTCTTCAATTCATACTGATGATAGCTTGGAAGTAGAGAGAAGAGTCACACAGCATGAATCAGACAATGAAAATGAAATACAAATTCAAAATAAGTTAAAAAAAGACTTTCCTAAACAGTTTGATCAGGTTTCTGTCTTTAAATCAATACGGAAAGATTTTAGTCTAGTAAGAGAAAACAGCAAAGAGACATTTTCTGGAAAGGAGAAAAATAGAGACCTAACTTATGAACGTGAAAAACGGTTGGATAAACCCCATAAAGATTTGGATTCAAGGTTGAAAAGCAGTTTTTTTGATAAAGCAGGTAATAATTGTTGGAATTAGAACCATAAAACACAATTAAAAATTACTGATCATAATATATAACTTTTATTACTTTTGATGTTAAGTGAAGTATGAACGGTTAAATTCATTGTAAGCTTGTCATTTTTCTTTTGTCCTTGTTCTTTGCAGAGTGACTGAATTTCTCCCAGTAACTTTTGGTAATGGTATAAATGGTTGAAAATAGCTCTAAACCTCATTTCTCCCTCCCCTGGTTGCAATGTTTTGATGAGAAAGGCAAGATACTTGAATCACCTGTTCATTTTCTTTGGTTGAACATTGGAACCTGAAGTTGGATTTAACTTCTTTGTGCTGTAAGCACTAATTCAAACTGCTGTCTCACCACTTAGTCCAAATTAGGGAGTTTTTATTTTATTTTTTAAATTTAATTTAATTTTTTGTTTATAAACTCTCACCTCTATCTGAAAGGGAGGTTTTTTTTTAAAAAAAAATTCTAATTTATGTTTTAGAAGTTTCTTGAGGTTTCTCCTGAGCCTCTTTGCCCGGTGTACCCTATACTTTAGCTGTAGTTAACATTCTTGAATATATCATATATTTCCTTCTATGCCTTCCTTTCCTCCTGCTATTCCATTTGCCTGCATGTCATTTTCTCTCTGTATATTTGCTTGTGAAAGTACTTCTTATCCAACAATGCCTAACTCATAAACCTCTTCTACTCTGTCATCATTCTAACTGCTCTACATCAAGAATGAATTGTCTCCTTATCTATATTTCCACAGCGTTTTCATGCCTCATTATTTATTTATAGTACTTATCACACAGTATTATAGTTCTGTATTTGTTTTACCTTACCTACTAGTGTAGGAGTTGAGGGCCAGATTTTATCTTACTCATCTTTGTATTCTTGGGGCCTAACCTAGTGTAGTAAAATAGTAATTATTCAATAAACGTTCACTAGCTGTGAAGGAAAGCGAGTATTCTATACCAGTCCTTGTATTTCTTCTAACAATGCTAGGAAATGTGTGGTAGAAAGAACAAACCAGTATCGTTAAAGAGACAGCTTTTGAGTATGTACAAGGCTGTGCGAGGATATACTATGTTTTTCTCTATAATTCAGTATATATTTCCAGTATCCCTTCTTGGGGTATGAGAGTCATGTTTCTCAAGGAACATAATGTCTAGTAGTAGAATGGACAAGACAGGTCTGGCAGTAGAAGTGCCAATGTCCAGTGGAATAGCATAAGATTTAATTTACAGTTAAAGACAATGGTAGAAGAGCTTGTCATAAGGCAGTTCAAGAAGATATCTTTCAAATAACTGAAACAGTGTGTTTTAGGGATTCTTAGAAGAGAGATGATTTTTAACTTATTGAACAGGGAGGGTTTTATAGAGGAGAGGTGAATTTTTGAACTGAGTCTGGAAAACTATAAAAATTAGGATAGACAGAGGGGACTTGGAACAGAATAAGTAGAAATGGGGGAGAACAAACACAAGTAATTTTCAGAGCAAAAATAATTTTTTTTTTTTAGGTTTGAGCAAAGGAAAAATGTAGGGTAAGGCTAGAAGTTAGGTGGGGCCAGATTGTGCAGAACTTCGAGTGAAAATACCTTTTGGGTGTTTTTGGGACCCAATTCACTCTAACGAGCATCTTTGTTGGAAAAGAGAGGTGGTTATCAAATGATAGCTTTTTAGGTCACTCTTTATAAGATTTGTTATTCATATACATGTGTTTGTTTGTTTTTTTTTTCCTTTCAATAGCTAATCAAGTTGAAGAAACATTACATACCCATTTACCACAAACCCCAGAAACAAACTTTAGGGTAAGTTTTCAGTGTGTATGTAGATTGCTGTAACTGTGACAAGTGTCAAAGTTTTCTTTATGTCACTTTCTAAATTCTAACAATGTATTAGGTAGAGCACTGATTTTTTTTTTTTTTTTTATTTGCTTAATATTTGTGTAAGGTCATCATTGGAGACATTCTAAAAAGCCTCAACTCTTAGGGTCTTTGTTTGTATTTGGTATTTAGACATATAACACATTTACTTTTAGGCATAGGGACGCTAATGAATGTCCATAGAGTTCTTCATTTCCAATGAGCTTTTCTTTGGGTGTTAAACCTGAAGAGGAATCATTTTTAAATCTGAATATTTATTAATCCTTTATATTGTGTTTTAGGATTCCAGCTACCCATTTGCCAATAAAGAATCCATTGGTTCGGAACTGGGGAATTCCTTTGCATCAAATATTAGAATTAAAGAAGAACCTTTGGATGATGAGTATGACAAAGCAATGGCACCACGGCAGGGACTACTAGACAAAATTAAAGATGAACCTGACAATGCTCAAGTAAACATTTCACCTTTTTTCCCCCCCTTCTTTTTGTTCCACACATTGAATTATTCATTTGAGAGAGGAAGTGCTTAAGAAGTGAAATAGTTTGTTGACAGGGTGAAAGGAAACTCTTAAAGAAGGTTGAGGCTATTTGAATTACCATATAAGGCATTAATGAGCTGTATGAAACTTTTCCTGAGTAGTAATTAAGGCTTTTAATCATCTGTGTTTCTTAACACCACTGTGATTTTTGCAATGCATTTTAGTGCAAGGATTTGAGAAGTATACAGCAGATATGGTTGAAGGTTTATGGTAGTTTATGGGTTTGTGGTGCAATCAAGTTTATGTAGGATAGTAAGCCTTTTGCAGTTAATGCTAATGAAGTACAGGCTATATATGGATTTAAATATTTTTCAGGAGGGGTTAATGGACAGATCATCTTTGGAAGGGTTAATTGATTGAAGAACCAGTTCATTGGATTAGTGGATAGAAGGTAAAGGAGGCTTTGATGAATGATACGTGATTCCAAGTTTGAGATCTGTGAGTAATAAGAGTGAAGGTAGAACTCTGCTATTTCAAGGTTGCTCTGGAGATAAAATCATAGAGATCTTGTAACTGTGAGGTCCTGAAGTCAGCTAAGCTATCCATGCAGTTAATGATGTTGCTATTGTTGGAATAGAAGGAAAAAGTTATATCAGATGCTGCAATCATTTTGAAGTGCAAGAAGGGGTCCAAGGGACGAGTATGCAATAGCAGCAATTATTTGAGGGTATCTTTGTTTTGTACAGACGGTATGAATTGGCTGTTTTTCTGAAATGACATTTAATCTGGAGGAAGCTTATATTTTCCTATCTTTCTGTTTGTATTAGAGGGTTTGAGACTATCAGACTTCTGTGAAAGTGCTTTCTTCTTCTTTTCTTTCTTTTTGTTTTTTTTTTTCTTTTCTTTTCTTTTTTTTTTTTTTGAGACAAGGTCTTGCTCTGTTGCCCAGGCTGGAATGCAGTGGTGCAATTACTGCTCACTGCAGCCTCAACCTCCCAGGCTGGAGTGAATTTCCCAACTCAGCCTCTCAAGTAGCTGGGACCACAGGCGTGTACCACCACACTGGCGAATTAAAAAAAAATTTGGTAGAGGGGCCCGAAGTGGTGGCTCATGCCTGTCATCCCAGCACTTTGCAGGCTGAAGCCAGCAAATCACTTGAGGTCAGGAGTTCCAGACCACTCTGACCAACCTGGTGAAATCCCATCTCTGTTAGAAATACAGAAAATTAGCCAGGCATGGTGGCGGGTGCCTGTAATTCCAGCTACTTCGGAGGCTGAGGGAGGAGAATCACTTGAACCCAGGAGGTGGAGGTTGCAGCGAGTCGAGATTGCACCACTGCCCTCTAGCCTGGATGACAGAGTGAGACTCCATCTCAAAAAAAAAACAATAAAAATAATAATTTTTTTTTTTTTTTGGTAGAGTAAGTTGTACAGGCTTGTCTCTAACTTCTGTGAGCACAGAATTAGGGATAAATAGATGTTTCAACACCTGGGGAAAGTTCATGTGGCAGTATATCCTTCAGAAGACTACAACTATGTCTATATGAAGGGCAGATCTTGTATCTCTTCTCCTGCCCCAATGTGGGTATGCTGGCAGGGTACCAAAATCATCTCTTTCTTTTGTACTTGACCCATGTGACACTTCCGTGGGACAAAAAGGCACTTGAAGCATAAACCAAATACAGTAGGGGTAGAGAACACTGAGAAGGTTATTAGTATTGTTGTTTTCAAAACAGTCAGAGGTTCCATTGGCTAGAGAATATAAATAGGATGGAACAGATAGAAACACTTAGATTTTTATATACTTATTAAGAATTATAAAATGTGTTATAAAATACTGAATATGAATATGAAGTTTCATCATGATTATGGAGAAGAACTTCCCCAAAGACTCCCTCCCTGATTGATTGGACTTGAGAATTAAGCAGTAATGTGAGTAGATCCTGGGCATAAGATCCAAAAACATTCTTTACTCTAACCCCACAATAAGGCACTTGCAGTATGTGAGTCCTTTTTGTTGTCAGCCATACCAGTCCTATAGGATCAGACCTTTGATAATTCTTCTAGAAATCCCCCCAGAGCAGCTCATGTTTTAAACTAGATACATGATTCTTTCCTTCTTTTCTTTTTCTTGTCTTTTCCACACCCTTTTGCACCTTCCCTCTTTCTTTTAGAGGAGTATCGCCTTTCAGTATTGCGTAACTTATTACTTTTATTCATTTCCCATGTACTGGAAAAGGGAACTCTAGTGTATTATTTTATTAGTCTCAAAAAAGTACTATTAGCCTCTCATAAAATACCGATAGATTTTACAGTTGTGGTCAGCGTTTACTTTTGACCATCCAGTTACCAGTAACTTTTTTCATGGTTCAATACAATCATAGCTTTAGTTTATGGCACCATTTCAAAACTTCCTTGGCTTTTCTTTGTGCTTAATTTAGGTAGTTTTGCTTTTAGCTCACTTGCTAATTCTCTTTTTTACACAATTCATTTTGGTCCTAATTTCTTTACTTTCCTGTATAAACAAGGTGCTGACATGTGTGTATATGTATTTAACTTCCTCTACCCATTTGCTCTTGGTTATTTCTTCAGTTATGATATTCTGGATTTGCCAGTCATCGTCTGTCCTCCTGCCTCTATTACTGGCATGATGTCATTGGGTCTCTCAGTTTCATTTCTTCGTTCTAATTCTATTGCATGTTTCTATAATGTTTTCTGTAGTACTTTTACAGTTACAGATGCTTTTACATGTACTCTGTTGCTTAATTCTCCTAACAACCCTATTTAAGATGGCCAGAGTAAAGGATGTTAACATTTGTAGATGAGAGAGCTGAGAGATACAGAGATTTAGTTACTCAGGCCTCATGGCCAGGAAGGAGTCAATCTGGGGTCGTAATCAAAGTATTTTTTTTTTTTTAGTGTGCTAATCTTTCTGTAAATAAAAGTTGTTTAATTTTTTAAATACCTAGAGAAGGTTTCAAAATAGATACTTTAAACAGAGCCAGAAACCTCATTTTCCTCATTTCCCTTTTCTGTAGGTTCTAAAATCTGTACATTCAGTAAATACTACATTAAAATCATGATTTCTTTTTCTTCTTGCTCATAATGATAGAGGGAGAGCTAATGTGTAGTCTCTCATTGAAAGAACTCAATTAAAATGGGAAAGCAAATGAACTAATTGTCATAATAGTGATTCATACAGTTTTGGGAAGAAAATGTGATAATTCAAATGTTGGGGCTTTGTTTTAGCCATGTTGAGTTAATTTGGCAATAGAAACTTACTCATTTCTAAAATACTTTCATGGGATATTAATATTGGTCTTCATTTGTAGTAAACTAAGAAAGTAAAGGTATTGGTATAGGATTTGTTTTGTTTTGTTTTGACATGTGTTTTTCTGCTTCTGAAAGCTTTTGAGTACCAATTAGATGTTTACTTCTCAGAAAATATTTATTAGTTATTTGCTAGTCATTGATTTATCAAATACTTGTGGAATTAGTGACCATGGGAGGATACAAACATAAACCAAACATGATTGTGCCTTGAAGGCATTGTGGACCATACAGACAGTACTTAAGATGTATACTATTTTACTGTATTACATAAATAATATGTACTCAAGGCTAAAGGAATCCAACAGAAGTTTGCAATAGCCATCACAGAGACTAAGAGAGCTGACTGGAGACCGTTAATGTATGCCAATGAGTATTGGTTGTTTCTGGAGTTTTCTGAGATTAAAATAAAAATATTTAAGGAAATTTTCTTTAATACACTATATAATGAAGGAATGTCATGATTAGTTGATGTTAGAAAATCTTTTAATACATACATTTCATCAGCAGGTCACATAGGAGTATCTGCAATAGTCACTTTATTAGATGCCAAAAGACATCTCATGTAATTCAGCCATTTCTTACAATAGATTTTTTTCTTGATCATGATAAGGAACTACTACTTCAGATCAGTAACAGTTATTGAAGTTCAAGTAAAATGATGCAAACTTTCTGTTAATATTACTAAAAGAATACAAGTTGCGGATGTCATTGTTATTATTTAACTCTTGTTGGATTTTTACTCCAATCCATGTTAAAGAAATTAAAAGAAAAAATAATGGAAAAAGGGAAATAAAATTATCACTTGCTATTAAGAATATTTATGAAAGAATTAATAGAATTCATGAAAATTTAGTGGAGTACGTAGTTGAATTATACCAATATTTCTGTAAACTTCCTAGTTAGATGATATAATGAAAAAGATACACTATTCCCAGCAGCAACCAGTACTTACATCAAATATAACTTGAAATAATGAAGAAACCATCTTTTTAAATATAAGAAATATGAAGATGTCAGTTATTTTTAAATTAAGATTTAAGGCCGGGTGTCATCCTGTAATCATGATCACGCCTGTAATCCTAACAATTTGGGAGGCCAAGTGAGGTGAATCACTTGAGGTCAGGAGTTCAAGACCAGCCTGGCCAACATGATGAAACCCTGTCTCTACTAAAAAATACAAAAATTAGCCGGGCGTGGTGGTGCACGCCTGTAATCACAGCTACTCAGGAGGCTGAGGCAGGAGCCTCACTCGAGCCTGGGAGGTGGAGGCTGCAGTGAGCTAAGATCGTGCCATTGCACCCCAACTTGTGGGACAATAGTGAAATTCCATCTCAAAAAAAAAAACTGAGATTCAGATTTGATGCAATTCTGATGAAAATATCAAGTTAGGTTATGAAGTTTTGTAGAAGAATAATAGGCATGCACATACACACACTTATTACACATACATTCTAAAAAATGGATGGAGAGATTGAGAGCGGCAAACACTGTTAAATGGACGAACATCATATAATTCATTGCTTTCTTTTTTTTTTTTTTTTTAAAAAAAAAAGATGGAGTTTCACTCTTGTTACCCAGGCTGGAGTGCAATGGTGCAATATCAGCTCGCTGCAACCTCTGCCCCGCCCCCGCCCTGGGTTCAAGTGATTCTCCTGCCTCAGCCTCCTGAGTAACTGGGATTACAGGCGTGCACCATGTCCTGCTAATTTCTGTAATTTTAGTAGAAACAGGGTTTCACCATGTTGGCCAGGCTGGTCTCAGACTCCTAACCTCAGGTGATCCGCCGAGCTCGGCCTCCCAAGGTGCTGAGATTACAGGTGTGAGCCACCACGCCTGGCCATAAACATTCTACAGTTAGTTTCATTAGGATAGCATGATGTGATAAGATTAGTCAGACTGAAAATGATATAGAAGAGATAGCCCAAAAACAGACATTATTTTTTAAGAATTTGATATATTTATCAGTGGCAAATGAAAGGAATTCACTGTTTAGAGAAAGAAAAAGGGGTGGGCGTGGTGGCTTACGCCTGTAATTCCAGCACTTTGGGAGACTGAGGTGGGTAGATCACTTGAGGTCAGGAGTTCAAGACCAGCCTGGCCAACATGGTGAAACTCCGTCTCTACTAAAAATACAAAAATTAGCTGGGCGTGGTGGCAGGTCCCTGTAATCTCAGCTGCTTGTGAGGCTGAGGCAGGAGAATCACTTGAACCCGAGAGGAGAGGTTGCAGTGAGCCGAGGTTGAGCTAGCCTGGGTGACAGAGCAAAACTCTGTCTCAAAAAGAAAAAAAGAAAAAAAAAAAAAGTTCATTATACATCAAAATGAGTAAATTCCAAATGGAATAAAGCAGGGGTTGGCAAATTATTAGTGGTGGGCCAAATCCAGCCCTCCACCCCCCCATTTTTTTTGTTTTTCCACCCACTGCTTTTATAAATAAAGTTTTATTTGAACATTGCCACATTCATTCATTTACATATTATCTGGGTGCTTTTACTCCATCAGAGGAGAATTGAGTAGTTGGGACAGAGACCATATGGCCTGCAAAGTCAAAAGTATTTGCTATCTGGCCCCTTACAGATAAAGTTTGCTGACCCCTGGATTAAAGGACTGTATTATTATAAAAACGAAACTATTTTCTTATTCTTTTAATGTGGAAATAAAACTTTGTAAGAGATAGAAGAAATCACAAGGGTAAAGACTGTCAGATATTTTTGACATAAAAATGGAAATAAATATATAAAATTTTAACTCAAAGTACACATTGAGGAAATGTTGATAACAAATGCTACTGAGAGTTAATACTGTTCCATTATAATGTACTTTTTGTAAATGAACATTAAAAAATAGCTGCAAATTGAAACAAAGTGGGAAAATACTTTTAAATGGTGTTTTTTCATAAATTACTGGAGTAAATATAATTAAGAACATTTTTTGGGGAGGAAAACAATCTGTCATTATGTATCAAGAACCTTTACTATGTACCTGTTTACCTAGTAGTTCCACTTTAGGAATTCTTTTCTTGGGAGATAATCCTAAATACAGGAGTATGAATATTCACAAAGATATTCATCATGGCATTGCTCATTGTACTGAATATGCGGAAGCATTAAATGGACCAACATTGTGTTGTGGTTATATAATCTCAGTGCCATGTGGGGCCATTGGAGCCTGAGGCAGAAGGAAAAAATCAGTAATATTGATTTGGTATTTCTTTAAAATTTTGATATTTTGCTCATCATGGACCCTGCATAAATTTGATTTTTAAAAATACTGTGTTAAAATATTATCTTGATTACTGAGGTTTTGGTGCCCCCTTAATTTTGTACCTGAGGCATGTGCCTCACTCACCTCATCCCAGTCACATCTCTGTGTAATGTGTTACGTTTCTTAAATAATATATATTTGTACGTCTCAAACTTGAGTAATGTGCCGACACCTCCCCACCACAAAAAAGGAGATATATCTGAGATACTCCAGAATTCCAAGAATAAGTGGTCTTGCAGAGTTTTTGCATGTTTCAGTATGATAAACAATATGATAAACAATTAAAATAAAAGTTAAATCTATTATGTAATGATTTTAGAATGCAGTCCTGTAATTGTAAAAAGCAAACAGCACTAAAAAGTTGTAGTAGAACTCAGTTATATGGTGGTTACCCATGACTTAGAATATGTGTATGTGCACATAAAAATCATTGAAATAAAAACAAAATTTAAATAGCATTCTTTTAGAATTTTCAGACTACGTAGACCTCAGGGATTCTTGGACTTCAGTTTTGGAAACACTGGTATATTTAGCCATTATAAGTTATTTTGGAGTAATATACTAATATACAAAAAGTTCAAATGATTCAAATGAGCAAAAAATCAGTTTATAAGAATGGTATATTTAGTATAATTACAACTTATTAAGAAATAAAACCTCTGTATTGAGGTGGGGAAAAGACTGGAAAGAAATATACCCAAAGAATAACAGTGGTTGTTTTGGGATGATTAAAATATGATTAGATTTTTTTCTTATTTTTATTTATCTAAATTTTCTATAGTGATTGTGTATTACTTTTATAATAAAAAGTAACTCATAATACTTTAATAAAATTAAAGAAGATTTTTCAAAAATAATTTATAAATACTTAGTGTCACAGACTTTCATTTTTTCCTTCTTACACTCCTAGCATATACATATTATACCCATATTTAATTACAGTTTGCTTGCTGTTTTGTATTTTATTATTTCTTATTAATGTTTTAAACATTTTCCACCTCTTTATAGTGGTAGTAAAATGTCTTGAATGTCTGGATGTCTTTAGGTATTTATTCTTTTCTCTATGTATTTATTTATTTTTTTCTTCTTTAAAGGAGTATAGTCATGGCCAACAGCAAAAAACTCAAGAGGGGGAACTGAAAATTAGTGCTGTGTTTTCAGTCAGTGGCAGCCCTCTTGGTAAGAAACAGACCTGAATAAATGGATTGTGTATATTCTGACCAATATGATTGAGAAGAAATTCTGCTTGTATTAATAAACTAGACAGCTCTCTCTACCCACTGAGGATGCCTTTAAATTGTATATTGCATAATTACTATTGGGTTTCAAGACTAGCTCTAGAAGAGAAAGAATGTCTACTTAAAATTCATGGTAAAAAGTAAAACATTTTTTTCTTTCAATTTTTTTTTTTTTTTTTTTTTTTTTTTTAAGCTCCACAGTTGACTACTGGCTTTCAGCCCTCACTGGCGTCATCTGGCATGAATAAAATGCTTCCTTCAGTTCCAGCCACAGCTGTTCGAGTTTCCTGTTCTGGTTGTAAAAAAATCCTCCAGAAGGGGCAAACTGCTTATCAGAGAAAAGGGTCTACTCAGCTATTCTGCTCCACACTGTGCCTCACTGGATATACAGTTCCACCTGCCCGCCCACCGCCTCCTCTCACCAAGAAAACTTGTTCAAGTTGCTCAAAGTATAGCAGAATTCTAAATTATCTTTTTTATTTCTTTCCTTTCTCTCAGCATACTTTGTTCTTAGCTCATGTATTACGTTTGATATTCCACATTTACTCCTTTTTTTTTTTTTTTTTGAGAAATATATTATTTTCTGTCTGCTTTCAGTTGTTGCTTTTCAGTCTTCCAGGTGCTAGGTGCTCAACTTGCTTTTTAGCTTTCAATAATGTTACTTTTATGTATTGTTTTTGAAACCAGCTCTCCCATCCTTGTTAGTTGAAGTGCCTAATATAACAAAAAGTGCACATTTAGGGATATTGTATTACAGCAGTATTTTATCTTATAACTATAGGCAATAGATATTTAAATCCAACAAATATTTAAAGTTATATTTCCTGTTATGTAATTTGAATTTATTTAATACTTTTCTTCTTAACCTTAAATGGCTTCCAGTGTATATATTTT